CTTGATGAGAAGAATAAAAATTAAAAAAAAAATGTAAGTCAACCGGCCTCTTCTCCTATATTCACTTCTCTTTTTTTTTTTTTTTTTTTTTTTTTTCAAATATAGATTGATAGATTCACTCAAGTAGAAATAGATTCGATGGACAAACAAGTGTTCATTCTTTGTCTGATTTAAAAAAAGGATTAAAATAAATAAAAAAAAATAATAATGGAAAAGATTGATTTACCCCGACCAGTTGATGCATAGTGCAATTTATTTTTACAAACTTAATTTTGTTTTGTTTAATTTTATTTTCAATCTTTTTTTTTTAATTATTGTTTATTACTTTTCATTACCTCTTCAACTTAAATATTAACCAACCATAAACTCAAAAATTCTAAGAACACCTTAAAGAATCTTCAAACGATTAGAATCGCTCTTAACATATAACACAACCCTCACTAGGATTTCAATACTAAACATTCGTCAACCGGCCTCTTCTCCTATATTCACTTCTCTTTTTTTTTTTTTTTTTATCTATGTTAGTGCTGAATGAAATGGCCTTGCAAAACACAACTTAATTGTCTTAGCTTAGTTTGACTTACATTTTTTTTTTAATTTTTATTCTTCTCATCAAGTGCATTTTGTTTTTAATTATCATTTTCTGGATAATTACATGTAAATTCAAAGGTATCAAATATCTGACAAGAATATTCTATAGAGTAACCACTTTTTATGTCTATTGTTTTTAATTCATATGTACCAATTCTAATCAAATTTTGTCAATACTCTTATGTTCTCTTTCTTTCCAATTTGTGACTACTATACAAAATATAAAATAAGATAAAATAAACAAATGGTACTTGACATGAAAGTATTTCTGAGTCTGTTTTTCTTTTTTTTTTTTTTTTTTTTTTTTTGGTACTTTTTTGAACAAAGACGTGTTAAAGTAAAATTTTAATAAATGTATGTTGATTCATCAATTACATTCCCTTAGATTTTAAATATTTTCCTACTTAAATTTAAATGTCACTTAAAATAATAAACAATTAAAATTTCAATCAAAAAGTTAAAAAATAATAATAAAAAAAATAATAAAAATAAAAAGGGATCAAAATGTGTTCCTTGTTAATACAAAAAAAAAAAAATAGATTCACATGTCCAATTCTTACGCAATTAAAATTTCATTTCCTAATTAAAACAAAAAAATTAAAAAACACTCTATATTAACATCGTTTTAAAAAAAAAAAATAATAATAATAATAATAATAAATTCTAACTCAAAATCAATTATGCTTTTGGTGAAAATTTTAAATATAGGTTTGAATCCAGCTTAGTGACAGGGCGAGGGTACCAGCCCGCGTGGCCAAATGGACAAGGCGTCGGACTTCTAATCCGAAGATTGCGGGTTCGATCCCCGCCGTGGGTATAAATTTTTTTAATATTTGTGTAGCAAGACTTGCGTCTAACTTCCTTTCTTTTTTTTTTTTCTTTTTATTTAATCACTTTCTTTTCTTTTCATGTCAAGTTGAATTCTTCAATTTTTTTTTTTTTTTTTCGACTTCAATGGAAACCACTTTAAGTACCGAATCTTTGAAAAGTGCTGTATTTTTATGATCTTTATCTTTATTTATTTATCTATGTTTTTTTTTTGGAGATTAGAAGAGTTTGTTTTAGTGTTAATATAAATGGTTAGTTAGTTTATTTTATTTTTTTATACACAACCTATCCTTCACTTTTGACCTTTGTTTTCTTCTTTCTTTAGTTTTCGCAACACTTCTAAAATGTCTAAACAAAATGGGTTCGGAAGTAACCTTACATGCTTATTCTCACTACGTACTTGAAGTGTACATTTTTTTGAAGAAAAAAAAAAAAAATAAAGATGGATGATGAAATTTAAAAAAAGAAAAATAAGGGTTCTCTGTTTTTGTTTTGTTTATTGGATTACATTTTTTCAGTAATTTTTTTTTTTTTTGAAATTTAATAGAAAGACTCTTTTCATTGCTACCGTGGAATTTTGAATGCGTGGACTAATTCACCAATTCATTGTTGTCTTCTTTATTTTTTTTTTTTTTTTCTTATGCTGCTTGTATCCTTGCTTTAGCTTCAACTTTCCTCTTTAAATAAGACCAAGTCTACGTTTGTGAAGGTTAAATGTTATTCTAGCTTCTTCCAATCATATTCTTTAAATACCAGTTCTTCTGATTCAGAAACTACTACTTGTCGTGTAGCGATTGGGGTATTTCAATTTTTTTTTTTTTTACTATCAAACGCAAATTACTTAATAAAAAAAAAAAAAATTAGAATTTTTGGTTTTGAATTTTACCTGTTTATCCTGTTTTAACTTTTTTTTTTTTTTTTTCTTCTCACTTTCTCTCATTTTTTCATTTCATTTCATTTTTCCCTTTTCTTCTTCAGCCATTATATGAAGTATTCAAACAAAAGTCTCGATCTATTTCCAACTCATTGTCAACTGCTTCACCTTTACTTGCTCAATCCTCTAAACTTTCATGGACGGAACAGAGTTCATTGCTTTCTATCCAGCATGGATGTCCAGATCAAGTGGATACCATCTATACTCTACATATGTTGACTTCAAAAGATCCATTGCTAATTCCCTTGGACATACTTCCCTCTACGACGTCCTCGTCGTTTACAGTCACCCCTTCGTTGGTAACCCAATGGTTATCTCATTTTTTACCTAAACAAGAAGAAGTCACCATGATTTGCTCACGTCATGGGGTCACTTTAAAAAGCTTTTCAGACATCGATACCAATCCTTCTTTACACACTGTGCTTCAAACACCTACCTCAGTGTTCGAATCCTATCATTTTCATGTTCAAGATGAAAAAACAGATCCAAAAGAATGGGATGACGTCACTCTTGAATTAACTTTTAATTTAAAAGATTTTAAAGTACATGGATAAGAAAATAGAGAACACTTCTTTAGGTCTTCTTAAATTTTTTGGACTTACTCTTCCTTTTAAATCCTTCTTGATTCTCCTCACCTCTTTTTTAAATCTTTTTTTTTCCTTCCCTCTTATTCCTTGTTTACTTTGATTCTCTTTTTTAAATCTAAGTTAGTTTGAGTCAAATTTTTACTCCAATTTTGATTTTACTTATATTTGAATTCCATACTGGATACCATCCTTTTTTTCTCTTTACTCTTCTTGTTAATTTAGGGATTGCTTTCATTTGCAGATTCTATGAATTTACCTATATCTGCTTTGTTTAAAGGTCCTGGGATGTAAGTACCTTTCTTTTTTTCTTTTTTTCATTCGCTTAGTATTCGTTTTTGGACTTGATCCTCAGATTCTTTAACTTATTCTTCCTTTTTCCTTGAATTCAATGTTAGGCCCATTCTATTTTCAGTGACACTCCCCTCGGCCACCACCACTTCGACCACCTCGCATTCAAGACGTTCCACGGCTTCATCTTCTGACTTAATGAATTTAGAATTCATCATCGCCACGGTTCAACCCTTCACCTCGTCGTCTTCCTCCTCTTCCTCATCTACACATCCGGTTCCTCTATATCCCTTCTCTACCACCTCGTCTTTTACTTCCATGTTACCCAACGGTACTCCTGTGTCACACGTCTCCGCATCGCATGTTTCAGCTACACCTGGAGGTTCCTTAGATACCACCCCTTTGCGTCCGGCTGCCACACCAGCATCGGTCACTGCGTTTCCGTTTGGACCCGATACTAATGAAATAGTGCCAGGAACTCCTCCGGATCAAGAACAAACATGGGAAACCTTTTTTTGAAACATCCTTTTTTTTGTTTGTGAATGGTAAAAAGGTTTTTTTCTTTATCTACATAACTGATAGAAAATCATCTTTATGAGGAATACATCGAAATATGCTTTTATGTACTCATTTCTTTTTTTCTTTTTATTTTTGGTAAGGTTTAAAAAGATAATTGATATTTTGAAAGTACACACTTCTTACCTTTGAAAAGTTAGTGTCTCTTAATTTTAAATGAAGTTATGAATTTAATTTCCGTTTTTTTTTTTTTTTTTCAAAATTTGATTTTTAAATTATTGTCTGACTGAATAGATAAATTATATTAACTTGTGTAATAAAACAAAAAAAAATTTGATTTGTATATCCCAAAAAATGTAAGAGATGTGTTTTGATAAATGGAAAACAAATGATACTCAAAACTATGTTTATTTATTTTTTCTGAAAATTTTTAAAAGATTTTGTTTTAGCAGGGTTCGCTTTTTTATTCAATTTGAGAAAAAAAAAAAAAAAAAAAATCTTCAAAAATTTTCTCCTCCTCTTTTTTTTCTATTTTAGTATATCTTCATAAAATGGTTGCTCCTACTTTTGAAAAGTCTAATTTCTTAAAAAAATTTGGTACCATGAGCATTTCTTATTTTAATCTTTAATATGTCATTTACTTTTTCATTTTTTACTTTAAGAAAAAAAAAAAAAAAAAATTGAACAATCATAACCATATGTATCTCTATAAGAAACCTTTTCTACGTTTAAGATCTACTAGTTAATAGTATTGGTTATTTTCACTTTTATTTTCCGTATACTCATGGCATTTAACTTTTTTTTTTTTTTTTTAAATACAGAAAA